TTGAATATCTTGCGGAAAGTTATTAATATTTTTATTTTTGAGATAGCAGATTACGCGTAGCCTGGTGTTTAACTTTTTGTGTTTTGGATTAGAAAGTACACAGCTCGATCCACGTTATACAGCTAAACTCTCTCAGTATACTTTCAATTATGGGATGCTATAGCTGTGACAGTGAATCCCTTTACTCGGTTTAGGGTAACTGCATAAACGACGAGTGTGTTTTTTTACTATTGTTTTCCTGTTGGTCAACAGTTCTAAATTAGGGATAGATATATCTGAACCTGTGGATCTCTGACCTGTCCACCGTTTAGTCCAGATGTACAGATGTCCAGATGCAGTTCTAAATTAGGGATAGATATATCTGAACCTGTGGATCTCTGACCTGTCCACCGTTTAGTCCAGATGTTGTATAAGGTGCCCTTCAGTTTGAAAATAGTCAGAAATGAAGATAAGCACCAGTTAACAATTCTTTGGTTAGATATGTGTCATTGTGAAATATTGTTTAACGATACCCCCCTGTGATGTTTCATAGAAAGCTTTTATACAATACTTTAAAGATAGTGAATATGATGTGAATTTAAATAATTCCTTTGCTATGTATTTATATACACTCTACCTATCAGATCTATGTGTATAAAAACGCAGAATTAGTGGGAAATATGTAAATAATATATTGTAATGTACAATGATGTACATTAGCTAGAAAAGACACAGTTATCGAAATACACCAGTTAAGAATTTCCATAAGTAGTTTAAAGCTCGGTAGTATTTTAAGTGTTTTCGTCATTCACACGTGTATTCAGTTTACTTGTTCGTTATTCCACAACTACTAACTCATCACACGTGGATTTAGTTTACTTGTTCTTCATTCCACATCTAGTGATTCTTCACACGTATATTCAGTTTATTTAGTTGTTGTCATATCATGAAATATTATTAATTAAACAGAAAAAGGTTAATTTGTTAATGAAAGTGAAACTGTATGAAGTAACAGATAAGTTCTTATATAACTAATTGACCTCCAAATGACAGTAAATGTGTTTTACAAAATCTAAACTTTATTTGCATATTTAATTATTTTGCGTAATAGTTTTTCAAGAAATAACTAAAAGTGTAGTTATGACAAAGTGCACATTGTTCTCCAATATAGGTATGGATTTTTAACATTTCATACTATTTTGAATCAATTTAATAAAGGTTGTTTGTTTGAATTTAGTGTAAAGCAACTCGAGAGCTATCTGTGCTAGCCGTACCTAATTTTGAAGTGATATACTAGAGCGAAGGCAGCTAATTAACACCACCCACCGCCAAATCTTGGGCTACTTTAATACCATACTAATGGGATTGAACATCGCATTATAACGCCCCCACGTTTGGAAGAGCAAGCATGTTCGGTGACGGTATTCGATCCCGTGACCCACAGATTGCAAGACTATCGCACATACCACCAGGTTATGCCAAGACATAAGATAAACTATTCACACCGAATTTCATATTTTCGCATGTTCGCATTTTATCACCCATCTTGGAAGAAAAGGCTGAGTTTAAAAAATTGAGAGATATTCCTAGCTATACAAGTATGTTTACATTTCTACATTTTCACCTAACTAGTGAAAAGATCCGGAGTTCGAGATGTTATATCGCTGAACGCGTTTCGCGCTTTCAGCTGTGGTCGATTATTTAAAATGACAATCAATCCCGTTATCCGGTTCAAAGAATTGCAATACTTTTGTGAGTGCGGAGAACGTAAGATGGATACCTTTCCATGTCAGGAGTTTGAAATTAGGGACGGCTTTACCTGAACCCTAGGGATCATTTACATTGCCTTTTAACCCACGAGAATTACCCAGAATTTTCATTACGTGTTCTAAAATAAAATGAAACTAAGTACAATTAAAATGCTTTCTATTGGCCGTGTGCTGGACCTAGTGTTTAACGTGTCAAACTATGGATTCGAGGATACATTGTCTCCTTAGCATTGCCGGAAAAATATATAGCGTTCCACACTTTAGGGCCATAGGTGCTTATAAGACTAACGTTTAAATTACGATATTCGATTATAGTGCCTCAAGATTTGGCGGTGGGTGCTTTTGAATAGCTGTCTTTACTCTAATCCATAAGTCCACAATTAAAGACATCCTGCAGACATAATCCTAGTGTAGATTTATGCAAAAAAAAACAACATTAACCGTATAAAATACACAACACAATTACAGTTCTTTCCGTTAGCCGTATAAAAACTCATGTCACTAAAAATGTCACTAGAAACTGTTCTTAAAAATTTAAGTAGAAACAGTTGTTAAAAATTTTACTGGAAACAGTTCTTAAAAAATTAAGTAGAAAGCGTCCTTTAAAACGTCAAAAGTGTGTTTTTTCTTATAGCAAAGCCACATAGGGCTATCTTCTGTGTCCACCGAGAAGAATCGAAACCTTGATTATAGCAGTGTAAATCCGAAGACTTACCCCCAGTCCCTGCCGGGGACAATGTCAACAGAAACAGTTCTTAAAATTTCAGTAGAAAAGAGTTATTAGAAACTTTAATTGAACCACGTTATTAGAAAACTGAGTAGAAATACACTTTAAAATGTTTACAGAAATATGTTATATACTGATTGCAGCGATAACTAGCTAACATAATTTGCCAGAGTTTAAAAAATAATATGAAAAGTTAAGTAAGATGTAAAAATTAAAACAAAATAGACAGGGAAGTTATTTCTTTTTATAATGATTGCACATATTAATCACGGTATATGTAATACCAGGAAAACTTTTTTCTTATGTCTTGTTATGCGTTAATGACATGGGCTTTATCATGCGTTAAGACATTTTACAGTACAGTGCTCTTGAGATGAAGAATTTTTTGAAGTTTTGCTACGAAAGTACATTCGATTAGAAAACTTTTTACATAAATTTTCTTTCAAAATATGTTACAAATTTAACATATGCTGAAAGAGAAAAGATACTTATTCATCAATGTAAAACTAACTTATATTTGGTGAATTGCACTCTAGGATTGAATACGAAATGGCTGAAAATTTAAAACTGTATGTATTTCAATAACAAGCTGAATGCATATTCTGCTGTCAAGTATTATGTCAGTAAAATAACCCCTCAAGTTACCTTTGCAAATGGCATTTCAAGAACAACTGTGTTTTTAATTAAACTGTACTTAACACATTTCAGGTCATGTGCAAGGTATTGTCTTAATTAAAACAACTAGTTTGCTGTATTTGTGTTTAAATGCCCACGAATGAATTACTTCGTACTTTATTAACTTAACGAACGGTTTTGTGGCAAGAGAACACCTATATAAAGATACGTGTGTGTGTGGATAAGTGTGTACAAACAAGCAATTTCTGAAAAAAAAATGGAAAGACAGGAAACCTACATTCATACATTGTCAGAAAACTACAACACTTACAAACAACCCAATCAACTACACTCAATAGTTCCAAATAATATCTACTCTAAAACTCCGAGTTCTCGCGCGTCTAGCTCATAAGTCGTCAGTTCTTTTTTTATCTGCTATCAAACGATGTGATTACACTGCAACACCAGTCGATTACCGGGTATTGATAAACATCTGATAAACTTATTTATATAGAATGACAGTACTTACATACGATCATATTTATGGTGGCAAAGACCAGAGCGCCACCCAGTATCATTTTGTTTGATCTCATTGTGAGAATATGTTATAGTTAATTCTAACAGATTCGGAACTGCTATATAGCCTAAACGAGCTCAAAAGAAAATAAAAAACAACAACAAAAAACAGATCAAATGAACGATAGAGGTATAAGTACTAAAACCATAAACATAATAATATTTAACAAAAATGTTTATGAATATCGCTTCACGTGCTGTCGTAGCTATTTGCTCGTATGAACTATAATATATCTTTAAAAGAAACAAGCTCACTCTTCTGTGATTTATTAAGTAACTTTATTCTGAACACTACGATGCCTTTGTTAAAACCATTGAGATAGTTAAAAAAAAACTGGAAAATATAACAAGTATAAATTTCAGCTTTAAAGTAGTTTAGTCAGTTTACGATACGTTTTTCTTCCATGTTTAGATTAGAGATTGATACTTTGTTTCAAAGAGTGCAACTTCCAAAACAAGTATGCACGCGGAGTAATCTTCTTACACATATCTTAAAAATCAATACTACAGTAAGTTTTGTAACTTTAATTTCTGACGAGTAGCTGACACTATATTAAGACGTGTAACTACCATGATATAATATAAAGAAAATTATATTTTAAGTATTAAAACACTATTTATTAAAAAACAATCTTCTGTGAAAAAAAAATTGTTTTTCTTACCAGCTCAACGCGTCGTAGTAAACTGTTATAACTAGGAATTACATTTTAGTGTAGACATTCATACACACACACACACACACACATATATATATATATATTAAGGATAAAAGGTTTGTTAACTAATTTATCATTCAGTTTAATAAATGTAATGATATGCGATGCTGTATCTTTATTGAGGTTTCTGTTATGCAGCTAGACTAAGCCTAAGTAAAGATATGTAATCTGCAGTCATGTACTCGAAATTCGGTACTACACTTCATAAAAATTACCATTGTATAAACATTTAATAGTAGTTTTAAGAAAGAAAAAAAATATCAAATGTTATCATCATTTAATTTTTACAAAATATTTCTCAAAATAACTATTATTGTCGAGATGAATCGGTTAACTGTTGCTATCCATAAAAAACCTTCGTCACACATCACAGATATACAGCCTAAATCTTCTATTAAGCATTATCATAATTAATTTCTATCACAACAAATACTTTATATAATAATATCCTTCTTTATCAGCTAGTTAAAAATATAATCAGAACTCACTACAAGAATTAACATAACCGTAGATCTATACATATTTTCTAAATATTTCAATGATTTATTTTTTTGTACCTCTGGTGGCTCAGCGGTATGCTTGAGGGCTTATAACACTAAAATTCAGGATTAGATCCCTGCATTAACTTCTTCTTTTTTTTTTACACATTGTACGATATTCAGCCACTCATGGTTAACTGAACCGTTTATACTAATCGATATTCAGTGCAAAGTAAAATATATTCAATCACCTATGATAGATAGATCCAAATAAGCATTGAGCAGCTTTTAGGACGTTAGAGTCAAATTATCCTAATCACATAGTAACATACGTAATAAAACAATCATTAATATAGAACCTTGTTTTTTTTTTATTTCGTTAAATGTTTTTTTTTGAATAATCTATATTCTTCAGTTGGCAGATAGTCCTAAAACCATAATAGTAATACTTCATTCGTTCGTTTAATTCCACATGTAATAACACATTATCCACAATCAGGCGTATCTTGACAGTCTATTATAAATTAGAATGAAAATTTCTTTAACCATACAAGAGTTTATGTGCAATGATGACCTTTCTCCCAAAATGTTGGAAGCACAATCAACAGCATCCTAAACGATTCATGTATTATCTTTGATTAGATAAGCACATTAGACTCGCTTGGTAACTTTCGAACTAAGACATTAAATAATGACTTATCTTCGGCTCAGTTGTATGATATTCAAAGTTGAACTTGCTAAGTTCTATTCCAACACGAACTGAAAACATTTCTATTATTTAGCTCACGAATAAAATAACTTATGATGTTTAGTTGAAATAGCAACCTCTGAATGCTTTACATCAATTGGCTCCTGGTTGTCATAAAGCGTTGGCGCATGGAGAATGATACCACACGTGCCTACGAGGACAGCTACTGTGAAGATCCAAAGAAATAGGCGGTCCAAAACCATGGCAACATACTTCCAATCCTCTTTCATCTGAATATAATATAATCATATATATATATATAATTTTTTCTGTCAACAAGTTTAAAAAAGTTTCAAATCAAAATACCGTTACAACAAAATATACATATTGTTACACATACATCCTTCGAGCTTTGTAGAGCTTCAAGAATGATAACTTAAAAATGAAGTTAAATCTAACTTGATCACATATAAGGCATTACAGAAACTTAACGACACTTTATTTGAACAGTTTGTAAATGTTACTCCAATGGAATGGCGTGTTGTAACAGATACGAAGTTTGGCAAAATTAGTATGTTTAGCACAAATATATTTGGTTCATGGCAAATTCGCCACCACCGATAGATTAAGAAGAGTTGGATTTGTTATAGCTATTTCCGAAGATGATTGTTTTATAACGGGGTTTGTGAACAAAATAAGACCAAATATACACATTTTGTGACTTCCATGGAAGTGAGAAAAAACAAACAAACTTATCAGCAGAACTTTTAGGACAGAAATGTGATATGAATTCATATCCCAAACCAAACAAGATCAACGCACTTGTTCACAAAGACAAAAACTGTGATTACAAAAGAGGGGCCTTCGACTCAAAACAAAACAATTGCGATAAAGCTGTATATCTCCCGATACCATTAGTAAGATAATATCCTAGAATTTAAATTTTAAACCTTAAAAAGATAACGTCTGTTTTCACGAGAAAGAGAGCTCAAAAATGGAATCACAGTAACTCCATTTGGCTACATTCATATAAAGTTCCCCAGTGCAGTTCCAGTGAACTTTTGTGCCTTTGATCTATTTAAAAGTAGTTTTAGAAGCTAACGTCTATTAGAGGGTCTGTCAAAAGTGTTTCCAGACGTATGGTCTGAGTTGACCTCGACTTCCTTCGCGGAAGCTTATTAAAGGGAAGTTTGGGTGTTGGGCAACAATATGTAATAATGACCATTAGAATGAGCACGATCGGCGATGGAGGAAGTAGTTCCAAGTGCAGCATCGTTCATTTAAAGTACGTTTAACCAAAGTAACATTATATGATAAATTATATGAAGTTTTCATAATTGGGGGTAATTTGAGGGTACAGTAAATTTAAATAGGAATTAATTTCAGAAAGTGTAAAGCTAATTAAGGGAATTTCCTTTCGGCACGAAAATGAGTAAATTATAAATGTCAATCTTGAGATAGCTATATTTGTATAAATACCTTCACGCGACCAAATCGTAGTAGTTAACTTGGTTATTATTCCCCCCCCCCCCACACACACACAGTGGCTCAGCGGTAAGTCTATAGGCTTCTGACGCTAAAAACCAGTTTTAGGTATGTGCTTAACACAGAAACATAAACACTTAGTTATTATGCTGGAGAAACTGTCTATTCAGTGTTACATAACTGCCTCCAGAGGGCGATAGAACATGATGTCTAAAACTGATTCATTTATATACTCGCGCTTGATCATTTTGGCAAATTATTGTTAAATGTTTGTTTTTCGTTGGTTTAGTGAACCTTTTTTCACAGTAAATTGGGCAAAACACAAATAATAACATCAACTTTTAATCTGTTATACTTATCACATTGTTGAATAAAATTAATATTGAAGCGGTAATGTTGAATCGGTTTTGAGGCTTGAATTGGGTTCCTTTCTAAGGGCAACGCATAATTAAATCCTGATCAAGGATCTTGTTCTTGACAGACGGTATTGATCTTACTCAAGAAGCTGCACGTATAGTAATATAGTTATTAACCTAAGTCTGCTAATTGTTATACGTAACAGCAAAGCTAAATAACTCTAACTCATTAACTTACACAATTTTAATACCATTATGAAACTGGGGATCATTAATACTATGTTAAAACCTAAGGGAAAATTTAACGATTTGTTGATTGTTCGTGATGAACCATCTGTATTTTTTAAGTAAGTCTCACATAAGTATTAAAAAAAAAGATTCAATCTGATGGTATGCACATTATGGTCCAAAAGTTCTGCATTAATATAAATAATGTTTTATATGGTGATTAATACTGGACTTTTACAGTGAGAAAAAACACGTTGTAATCTTTAATTAATTGCTTTTATAAGATTCAACTTTAACTTACAGATATATGTTCTTCATATCGTCGCGTGTGATCTGCTATAAAGTGGACAGACTCCATTGCTCTTTCAAACTCGGGACAAAAATGTAGTCTTCTGACTCCTGGAGGAGTTCTCTCCTGCTCCTGAATTATAGCTTGTTCTGACGTCATAGGGCTCCCCATCGTTGCAAGAGAACGAACACTAGGACCGTGTATTCGACAACCGGTATAATTGAGTTCGGGGGCATATTCAGTGTCGTAACTGTTTCTTCGAGGAAACGAATCCCTTTGTGAATTGTAATCACGGAGTTCTGTACCGTTGCAGGTCCGAATCATGACCTTCCTTGAGTCGGTGGAATTATCCGACGGTCTCCTGATGAGGAGAAGGCGAGGCAACATCTGCATAAAGACATGCTTCACCCAAGGCTTCATGCGGTGGGTGGATCTCGTGCGAAAGTGCACATTTAGTACCACAACGGTAACGCAGATAGACAGGGTGACGAGAATCATGGTGAAGAGCAGGTACTTGCCCAACAAAGGCACAGTTAACGACGTGGGTGGAATGATTTCCGCCAGAAGAAGGAAGAACACTGTCAGTGCCAACAGGATGGAAATACTGAGTGTCACTTTTTCCCCGCTGTCAGATGGCAGGTAAAACACCAGGACAGTCAGAAAAGAAATCCCCATACAGGGGATAATAAGGTTGACGGTGTAGAACAATGTCTTCCTTCGCATGCTGATGTTGAAAGTGATGTCAATGTAGGGTTCCTCACAGCACGTGTAGTACTTTTCGTTGCGAACAGCCGGAACTTCCAGTACGTCCCATTCCACGCTCAGGTAGAACTCACTCAAGTCAATCCCAATCTCGACCCGATTTGTCCCTTGAATTTCTTCCTTGTGTCGCAGGTCTACCTTCAGAAAAGAGAACCCAATAACTAAAAAACTGTACATGCTAAGCTCAGCAAAATATAACTAATTATACACAAATTACGATAGCAAAATTTAATCCTTTGCGCTTATCCGCAAGATTTAATAATATTCAAAATAAATAAGTAACTAAAAATATTTTGTGCAAAAATGAAGCTCCATGAAGATCCATGTTGATTCGAGTTACTCAAACTATTTTCGTGCGGTATGGAATTCAAGAGTAGCCTGTAATACATAATTATTATAGATCAATCTTTATATCCTAATAACAGTAAATAATAAACAGATAACACATGACAGAATTATGCGTATTTCTTGTTCTTCTACATATTATTTAATTAAGTAAAAGTTATCATACCGATATTCTAAGAGACATTGGGATTATAAGAAAAAACGATAAGCTGGATAAGAATCCAGGAGAGTAGAACAAGATAGATCAAGATTTAGAAAAACAATTTTAAAAATAATTATTTAACACATTTAAATACATGAGGTATATTGCAATGTGAGAATATATGGTAGAAAACAGTTGTCTATCAGAATAAACATAATTATAATTACCAAGATGAGAAGGAAACTAATTATTATATGAAATATTATTTATGAGTCCACCATACTTTAAACCCATCGTAAGTCCAAGATCCAAATTTCATGACACAGGTTTGTTTGTCAAAAGGGAAGTACTCAACGTCGATGATGCACGAACTTTTATAGATAGCTGGAGGCTTCCATTCAATCAGACCTTTGAAATTTACTTGGGCCTTCGTGGTTAGAGTAACTTCAAAGTTACCATCTGCACTGAAATATCAAAAAATATCTCACCGTCAAAATTCTGAGCTGAAATAGACACCGAATCATTGGAAGTTATTGATTATGATGTTCTTGTACAAAAGCAAAAACGAAGCCTCTCTCTCATCTCATTAAATGCATGTAAGATCTCTTAAATACCAGAATCTACTCAGACAGAGGACAGAATTAATTTTGGGCGTTAAAACGAATATTCTCATGAAAATCGAAACATTGGGAATATATATTTTTAGCATGAAGTACCGAGTTATCGTTCACTTACAAAATGTAAGAATTTTTAAAGTCACGGTCGAAATTAAACTTAATGGTTAATTGGAAACAAAAATGTTAGGTAAATTTGAACATGTAAAACATGTTTTGTGTAGTACATCATATTAGTCTGATCAGTTCGACTAGGAATCCAAGGGTTCATGTTCGTGACCCATTGCCACTAAAACGTGCTTCGCACTTTTGAACGTGGTGCGATAAAAAAGTGACAGTCAAATTCCATTATTCGATCAAACAAGAGTGCTTCAAGAGATAGCGGTAGGTGTTGCTGACTAATTACGTTCCCTCTAGCTTACCACTATTCACATGTAGCATTTGTGAGGCTTTTATAAAAAAATTCTGAAAGAAACAAACAAACATGTAAAGTTAAATATACTCAACTTTTCAAATGACTGTACAATAAGAATTTTTCCCTTTAGCGAATAGTTTACTTATTCTGAAAAAATGCAAAAAAAAACTTACAATGTAAGAAAGACAAACAAAACTGCTTAAAGTTTGATGTTGTATACTACCATGTTAACTACTTGCTTGCTTACTAGACTAACAGTGAAACTCAAGCGAATATAACTAATTCCCTCAATTTAATCTTGTGATGACGCTCATGATAATGATAAAAGTTTTGGCGCAGTTAAAAAATCGATTAAACTAGTGACTTTAAAAGGAGAAGGTGAACAGGAAATTAAATATATATATACAAAGCTGGAGCTTCTATACTTTTCATTTTTTTTTTTACAACATCTGAAATTAGTGTGTTCATTATGTTTCTTTATCGGTTTTACTCTCTTAGAAGTTTACCTTCCTCCGAGCTAATTCGTTGCCTGATCATTATATAAGTTGTGTGTAGATACTTCTCCGTATTAACACCTAGCTCGAGTAAAATGTAACATAAATTCTGATTAACATCATCGGGTATCATGACTTGCAAACACAATTCAGATTAGGTTTTGGAGAATTCATTCAATTAAACATGCACCAATCGCTTATACTTCTTCATTAACACGTGCCCAGTGCTTATAGTGCCAGACAGTAGATCTGAGGTTTTGTAGCTCGCGCCCCGTTACCGCCAAAAAATATAAATCGCGCTCCAAACTTTGAGGCTGCAAGTGAGTTATAAGGATAACAGTCAAATTCTAACTGCATTCCATCTTGTTTATCACTTGACAATTAGGGGCGGCTTGCTCAGGTAGCTTTGTGTGAAATTCAAACACATTCACAGATTACATTGTTAATCGTATAAAACGTTATGCACTTCAGGCAACTTCCAAATGTAGAGACGTGGAGTTCATTACTGTAAACCAACTTTCACTATATTTAGAGAAAAAAAACATACAATCGACAAAACACGCATGTAAATATCTGCTGAGACTTACTTATTATACAAAACAATATCAGGTCGCCAGATGTGATCAGAAGGCACGTGCAACATGTCTACCCCTCCGTATTCTCTTGGATCCCACTTAAGCTTGTAGTCCTCCCAGTACTGAAATATAAGCGGATGATACGTATTAAGTTTGCGTATTATAAAATATATGACAACTGGAAAAGTGTACAATACTACGGTAACGCGTTATTTAACAATTTAAAACGGAACACAGAAAAATGTCCAATGGCGTGTTTTTACAAAATTATGGCGTACTAAACAATAGCAGTCATTATTGTATATATCAGCTTACTGCTGTTCAACTGTATATCCAAGTACATCTTCACTGAATTTATCTGTCTCCTATTGTATGTTAGACTTTTCTAGCATCAGTTACAAATAATCATTTGGGGAAATTATCTAACTATTTGCATCCTTCTGATTCTCCTGTATTAAATATAGGCTGTTGCCCGATGTAAGTAGAACTCTTCTAACGTACTTGAAACCTTTCAGCATTAAATACAGACTCTTACTTGGTATGGTTATAGCTCTTCTAATGTATTTAAAACCATTAGTATTAAACACAGACTGTTAGTTGGTGTGGTTATAGCTCTTCTAATGTATTTAAAACCATTAGTATTAAACACAGACTGTTAGTTGGTGTGGTTATAGCTCTTCTAATGTATTTAAAACCATTAGTATTAAACACAGACTGTTAGTTGGTGTGGTTATAACACTTCTAATGTATTTCAAACCATTAGTATTAAACACAGACTGTTAGTTGGTGTGGTTATAGCTCTTCTAATGTATTTAAAACCATTAGTATTAAACACAGACTCTTACTTAGTGTGGTTATAGCTCTTCTAAGTACTTCAAACCATTAGTATTAAACATAGACTGTTACTTGGTGTGGTTATCGCTCTTCTAAGTACTTCAAACCATTAGTATTAAACACAGACTGTTAGTTGGTGTGGTTATAGCTCTTCTAATGTATTTAAAACCATTAGTATTAAACACAGACTGTTACTTGGTGTGGTTATAGCTCTTCTAATGTATTTAAAACCATTAGTATTAAACACAGACTGTTACTTGGTGTGGTTATAGCTCTTAAATATTTAAAACCTTTGAGTATTAATATTTGGTTTGCTTGTTGTTAAGCACAAAGCTACGCAATGGGCTATCTGCGTTATCAAAATCCGATTTTTTGCTTCATAAGCTCCCAGACTTACGCTCAACCACCGAAGGCTCAATACTATCGACAGACTATTACTTGGAGTGATTATAGCACTTCTAATGTACGTCAGGCCTTCCAGTACTAAATAAAGACTGTTAGTGTAATTATCTGTCTTGGAGTATTTTTCAAATCCTTAAATATTAAATACAGATTGATATATAGCGTAGTTATCTGTCTTGAGTATTTCAGAATTTTATGTATCAAATACAGATAATTCTTTAATATATTTTCTCTTTTATGTTGTAAAATCGAGTTTTTGGTATTCCTTACTGCATTTTATAGTCCTATAATAAGTTATAGAAAGTTTTAATACTATAGCAGATCAATTGACAGTCAAATAATTCAGAAATGGATGGTGCTAGAAAAGTAATTGTTAGTATTATGGGATGAGTTGTTGTTCACCTAACCTATGAGGTAACCCAAGGTCAACTAGAAAGTCATGTCTTTCAGAACTATTGCAAATATATGACTTTTGCTTTTATAAGAAGTGAAACATTCTAAACCAAATTTAACAACAACGTTTTACAACAACAACAGGCCCGGCATGGCCAGGTGGATAAGGCACTCGACTCGTAATCTGAGGGTCGCGGGTTCGAATCCCTCTCACACCAAACATGCTCGCCCTTTCAGCCGTGGGGGCGTTATAATGTGACGGTCAATCCCACTATTCGTTGGTAAAAGAGTAGCCCAAGAGGTTGGCGGTGGGTGGTGATGACTAGCTGCCCTCTGCTTACACTGTGTCTTACACTGCTAAATTAGGAACGGCTAGCGCAGATAGCCCTCGTGTAGGTTTGCGCGAAATTCAAAAAACAAACAAACAACAACAGTTATAGGTAGAAATGTATGTTAGGTAAACATTATAACGTAATCAAAGTGGTGGCAAACAATAAAAAATGTGTTTAAAGTATTGTCCTAATGTAAGAAATGACATTATAGCAGCTTCATAAATTACCAACAGCTGTTGTACATGAATAAACAATGTACACCATAAAATTATAGAATTGTATTTTTGATACATTTCCAGATTAATTCTTAAAATATATTTTGTTGTATTCGTCCACTTTCACTATTAACGAACTTCTCCTCTATTCTGGTGTGAATTGCCACCAGCATAACAGGAATAACACCCCATAATAAGTTATATGTGTGTGACGAGTACGTTATATTATGCTTGTACACGTATGCTTCAATAGAAGCATTTTTGAGACTTATTGATTCGAAAACTGGTAAAAAAAAAAGACGGATCTTAATAAACTGAAAAATAACGATGGATCTTGATAGCCTAAAGCATAACAATAGCAGCATAGTAAATTGATAGCATATTTCAATTTAATTGTTTAACCGAAACACATTTCAAAAAAGGTTTAATTTTCAACGAATATAATCTAGTTAAAAATTAAACGCATTATTCTTTTCCAGCCTATATGTTCAGTGCATAAAATATTTGATAATTATTAATTAGCTAAAAGTTATTAAACTGCCCTCTCTGTGGCTCCTTGATAAGGTTGTGCAGTTTTGCGTTTAGAAAAAAAAACTTTTTAAATAAAGCCCGCCTTCACTCACCTGTTCCACCCAAACATTCGTTGTCATTATTTGTTCCTTTAGGTTCTGTAAGAAACATAAAATAAAAAAATAAAGATTGTTTATTGTTTATCATTCAACTAGTTTAGATAACTTACAATGCCTGGTATTGTACTTAATTAGCGAAGTCAGCTACTAATGGATCATTGACTTTCAAAAACCTTAAGATGTTAATTTAAAGAAACCTAAGGAAACATTCATCATTCTATTTCTCTAAACTAAATTTTAAAAATTAGTTGTAATGTGAACTGATTCATAAACCGTAGACTGAAGTCATATCTGAGACAGAAAGCTAAGTTTATGTAATGCATAAGTAAATAATTAGGCTAACTAATTAATCAAATATATTTAAACTTAACGTGTAAGTTCGACTAATCCAACTGTAAATATATGAAGTTCGACTAATCCAACTGAAAATATATGAAGTTTGACTAATCTAACTATAAATATATGAAGTTTGACTAAACCAACTGTAAATATATGAAGTTCGACTAATCCAACTGTAAATATATGAAGTTCGACTAATCCAACTATAAATATATGATGTTTGACTAATCTAACTATAAATATATAAAGTTGACTAATCCAACTGTAAATATATGAAGTTCGACTAATCCAACTGAATATATATGAAGTTTGACTAATCTAACTATAAATATATGAAGTTCCATATATTTACAGTCCAATCAATTAAACTTATATACTTACAGTTCGATTAATCAAACTTCATATATTTATAGTTCGATTAATTAAACTTATATACTTACAGTTCGATTAATTAAACTTATATACTTACAGTTCGATTAATTAAACTTATATACTTACAGTTCGATTAATTAAACTTCATATATTTACAGTCCGATCAATTAAACTTATATACTTACAGTTTGATTAATCAAACTTCATATATTTACAGTTCGAATAATTAAACTTCATATATTTATAGTTCGATTAGTCAAACTTCATATATTTACAGTTGAATTAGTCACTTGCCTTATAGAACTATAATTATATAAAGTCTTACTAATGTTATCGTTAAATGAAAAGTCACCCTCTCCCCACCTCCGTGCGTGTGGTCAACCGTAAATAAGAATAGTTAAATCTTTAAAAAAAAAGAACCAAAACATAATCCTATCTGCACATATGCCCTGAGAAATATGAAAGCACCACCAAAAGTTACAAAAATAAAATCATGTGCGTCTGATGTAACATACCTAATGTGCTGCATAGGGAAACGACGTATCATGTACGGTAACCAACGCAAAGCAATAACAAGAGTAGAGAGATGTACTCAGATTTTCTACTTTTGAAATGTAAAACAGAAATTCGGTACAGTCATAATATCTGAGAAAAATTCACGGAATTCATTAAAGTTTCAGTTATGCAAAAAGTGATTAGTAAATTGTACTTAACATAGAATTCAAGAAACAATACGACGTAAGAACTCTCTTTTGAAAGGTGAAAAAGCAAGTCCATAAAATTTTACGATGTTGAAAATTTTTGAGTGTATAAAAAGTATTGAGCAGAATAAACGTGTTGTTCAATATTTCTTTTGAGTGGCTTTTTTATTAATTAATGAAAAAAGTTTCGTAATTGTGAATTCACAAATCTATGTTTTGTTGGAAAATATTATGAAAATTTCATTAAGAGGGCTTAAGTTTTAGTACAAATAAAATGCATTGGTCGAAAGAGTAAAAACAAAATCGAGGGTAAGGTCCAGTGGATAGACAGGTAAGTTTAGCAGCGTCAAGAAAACCTTGATAATTGCGTATGACAATATCGTATTTGTTTCTATGGAAACATGAATAATGTGAAAAGATTTAGCTTAGATATTCATTGTAAATGTTATTAATTACGGAAATAACAATTGCAGAGAAATCAACCTGAGGACTTGACAGGTTTGAATATTTATGTCACAGTCCTTTCCAAGAGAAATGGTATTCGTAAAGTGAGATTTTTCAAAGATACATAGCAAAACAACAACAAAAGACCTCGAAGAAGAATGCTTTCCGAAAATGCAGAAAACGTGCACAGCAAACTGTTAAAGTCAACATCAGGTTCTGAAACCATACTTCAAGCAAGAGTAACTTCTTTAACTGCAAAGTTAGGAATACGGCAAAGAAAGAGAGTCCTCTAGCTCAAACAGTCATTGGAGTGAAGATGAATATATTTCTTGGTTACGTTGGTAACAAATGCTCATAAGTGAAAAGTTCATAAGTTTCTAGTCATGACTCGAGATCAGCGAAACCGGTATCACAACAATGTATTCAACAACAGAAATCTCTTCTATAATTTCACATGAATATATACAAATACAGTTGTGTGACGCCGCAAATTCCAACTGTGACGAAACGTATGTCACATAACGGGCCTACTGAAATCTCTTCTATAATTTCACATGAATATATACAAATACAGTTGTGTGACGCCGCAAATTCCAACTGTGACGAAACGAGTGCCATGTTAACGGCGAATTCCCCACCATTCGACGGTGCAACACATGTACGGATATTTTATGGTCAGTAGGCCGTTATGTGACACTCGTTTCGTCACAGTTGGAATTTACGGCGTCACACAACTGTATTTGTATATATTCATGTGAAATTATAGAAGAGATTTCAGTAGGCCCGTTATGTGAAATACATTCCGTATTCTTGAAATGATTCGAAAAATTAAGTTTTCAAGTCTTCTAAGCCGTGAGAGTAACAAACTTCTCTAACTACTACTCATTTGAGTTCCTGAAAGACATGTGTTCTCCAAATAACGTATTGGTTAACATTTGATTTTATTCCTATTTTTAAAATATTCCTCATGGTCATTCCTTTAAACAATGTGCAAGTCTGTACATAATAGCTTATTTAATTGATGTTCAGATAAACGGATAGATGTCACTGAACCCACACCCATAGCACAGAATAGAATGGCACATTCCTGTAAAACTGGGTTTTATAGTCAATGTATTTTGTCCCTTGTATTTATTATATGTCTTGTTTATAAACTACTTAGCCTTAGAATTCTTTCTTTTTAATGTTTTGTTATAGAAATTATGCAAATGATATTCCTAGCAATTCTCAGATTAAAAATGTCATTTCTGCAGTGAAGAATAAATATAAAAAGGATGGTATAATGCCCAGTATAGTACCACCATAGTGTAATCCATATAGATTTTATCATGTCGTATTTTCATTAATATTTTTTTATTTTCGTTTTAGAAATTGTGTCGAGCTTCATTTATCGAGATCTATCGAAATAATTCTAAATCACCGGTTTCAGGAATGACCCTCCAGTTGACCATACTAAAGGATGTTGGACTGTCTTGTGTTACAGGTTTTAAAACGTAGTTTTACAGAAAGTAAGCATAAAATTATTTATGTTAATAACCTAGAAATTTATATAAATAGAACAAACATTTAAAAGGCACGTATGATTTATTAAGTGAGCAAAATTTGTCGTTTATTTAAAAACCGTTTTACTTCAACTAAGACACTAATTTGTTAAAATGCTCATAAGTTAAATAGTGCAATACATGATTCACTTTAGTTAAGGTTTGTTTGTTGTTAAATACAAAGGTACATAATGGACTACCAACTATGCCCATCACAGGGATCGAAATCCGTATTTAACGTTATTTAGTTAAATAAAACAACTTAATGATTTATCATAATAAGTGCAAGTATACGAAGTTTGGAAACAATCTTGTAACCTAGATTTTGAATACTTTAATATTGTTCCTAGTAGAATATTTAACACCAGATAAGTGTTTGGAGTTATCACTTTCCAAGTCAGATCCGATATAATAATTTAATTTACAGTTGAAATGTGGGAGGAAAACAGTGACATAAAACAGGTTTACGCCATACTAAAACTGTTTTAATCTTTTTGTCCTGTTATTAGTACCATCTGCAAGCTAACTGAACAACGTTTAACAATTGAAAACGTGACCTGTATGACACGTGATGTCAAAGCATCACGATAATGTAACAAAACAATGAACGAATACATAGTCCACAGATTATATAATATGTGTGAAATATAAGAATGATAACACATATTACAATCGTCGAATTAAATATATTAATAACGAAGGATTTCCTTTTTTCCAATTTATATTTAATTCGACGATAACTGTGAAATATTCTTTATAACTTTTATATTTCACATGCTAAGGATATTTTTTTCTTTTGTTGTAAAGCACAAAGCTACCTACTGCTCGCCCACTTTCAATGTGTAAATTTCTGTATTTATTATTTTTAATGTTTATTGTGTCCAGCTCAAAAATAATGGTATAAACTTCCAGTAAGCATTGATAACGTAGATTTAACACAGCAGACAATAATTCGTTTAGTTACAATACACAATAAGACCATCCAGAGAAGAGTGAGGTATAATTCGTTGTTTCTATTCATTCAATATAAAATATACACGTGATGTAGAGAATTTCCATTTTTAATTATCTGGTTCATCTTCTTTTTCGTAATCTAGTTTAAAAAGTTCATCTTCAGAAGGATTATTCTAACTCTATAGGTCATATCAGCTTACAAGGGCAAAAAATATTTTAACTAAATAGGTCACACTAGCTTTGTGGGATTGTGAAATCGTCAAATTACCACAGAGCCACTTAAATAAAACAACTTCATGAAATAAATAAATCGGGTGTACTTCAACAATTCCTGGTGAGGCGTTATGGGTCCAGGTTTGTTAGTGAGGGCTTGGACTTCAACTGACTGGAGTTGTTTATTACTGCTTTGGATATCTGGTCTAATATATATATATATATGTAAGCCAGTTATCAACTTGTGTATTTGTAACGTTAATATTAAGAGCCATTTTTAAGTTGAACTATTCTTATTGATTTTTTGAGGGTATACTTGAAAAATGTTTTTATTTTCTCAGTGTGTGATTGTTTTTCTTTTATGGTGAAAGCTGAAGTTGGTGAACAAACCTCGCTGAAGGAAGGGTGAAAGCTCCCGGATTACTATTATTATTTTTGTTTTTACAAAACTCCAATCCGTCATATTTTGATGAGT